ACGTTGTGGAGAACTTGCGTGGCAAGTTTTAAACTCTGGACGAGTTGATAACTCTGAATGAGTTAGAAACTCTTGAAAAAGAGTTGATTTGAACCGAGAATCGGTTCTCAAGCCAAGGATGAAGAAGCTCTTGTTGCAGATCTCCCAATGCTCCAATCGAAGGATGAATGATCCTCTTTTCGCTGCCAAGAAGTTCCAACCGACCGACCCCGAAAGATCCAGCCCCGAACTAAGTTGATTTCTTAGTTATTTATAGGGAATTAAGGGGTGTAACCACCTCCTTAATTCACTCCTAAGTGGGGCTAATGCGATGTAACCGCCCCTTAAAGATTAAGGGGTGTAACCACCTCCTTAATTCACTCCTAAGTGGGGCTAATGCGATGTAACCGCCCCTTAAATCACTCCTGAGTGGAGTTGTGATCCCCGGATGTAACCGCCCCTTAAATCACTCCTGAGTGGAGTTGTGATCCCCCCAGATCGTGGGAAACGGTTTTGAAACCGTTCAACTCGTGTTTGAACGAGTCAAACGCAGATCCTGCATCCTGGCATGAATTCTATGTCCAAACGCAGTGTCTGGAAGCTTGAACGCAGTGATTGGAAGCTGCGTTTGGCAGCGGTACAGAGCTGCGTTGGGCAGCGCTTGGAGCTGCGTTGAGCAGCGTCGGGCGGCGAATAGAGCTGCGTTGTGCAGCGATGTTGAGCTGCGTCGGGCAGCGAATAGAGCTGCGTCCAGTGGTGATTTAAGCTGCGTTTACAACTTTTGGAGCTGCATTTGAGCTGCGTTCGTGGCTATGAACGCGGCGCATCTTGATGTTGGTACGCGAGGAGGACTTCCATATCTTGATTTGAAGAGACCATTGATTTGTAGTCTCTTTCTGTCGAAGCGTTGCAAAGATCGTCATTTTGTTTGAAGAGACCATTGATTTGTAGTCTCTTTCTGTCGAAGCGTTGCAAAGATCGTCATTTTGTAATCTTTACTTTAGCTCTTTGATATGCAAGAGTCGTCAGATTGTAACTCTCGATGTTGATTGTGAAGGCTGTTAAACTAGAGCTCTTATCGGTTGTCGTGAAGGTCGTCAGATTGTAACCTTCAGCGATCTACGTGAAAGTCTTCAAATTGTAGCCTTCTGGAAGTCGTCAGATTATAACTTCCATCATCGGTATTTGATGGGGATCAGCTATCTATTATGATTTTTAGACAGCCTACAATCAATTTCGGTTTGTGGAGGTGCCAGGTGATGGATGCGTTAGACGCTCAAAACTTAGAAGAGACTCTTGAGTTGCAAGAGAAACTTGTTGATATGGAAGAAAAGGTTTGGAAGAAGATGAATAGCAGGGCGTGTGGAGTTATTCGGTCATACTTGACGCCGGATCTTATTTATGATGTGATGAATGAGACGTCGGCGGAGAAGATATGGGAAACACTCAATGAAAAATATCTTACTAAGAGCATTGAGAATCGGCTTCACTTGAAGAAGATGTTTTACCAGTTCAAGATGAAGAAGAGAGTTTCCATCAGGGAGCATGTTAACAACTTCACGAAGCTAACTTTCAGACATGAACAATGTGGATATCATAGTTGAGGATGAAGACAAGGCGATGCTACTTTTGTGTTCGTTGTCCGAGAATGATTATGGTATCTTTGTTCTCACTATGATTAATGGAAGAACTATTGTTAGTTACAAGGAGGTGACCTCAGCGTTGGTGAATTATGAGTTGAGGAAGAGTGTTGATGAGTCCTCCGAGAAGGCATCAGGAGATGCATTAGTAGTTCAAGGCCATGGTTCAAACCGAAGAAGGAGGTCGCAGTCTAGAGGTGCACATCGTGGGATTCGTAGGAATCAGTGTGACTTTTGTAAAGAGGATGGACATTGGAAAACTGAATGCCCAAAGTTAGATCGAGCCGAGAAGAATAAGGGAAAAGCTGTACAAGCTTCAGAGGTGAATGGCCCAAAGTTAGATCGAGCCGAGAAGAATAAGGGAAAAGCTGTACAAGCTTCAGAGGTGAATGTTGTCAACACTAGTGGCAACAATTCAGATTCGGATTCTTCAGGCTATTCGTTATCCGCACTACCATCCGTTTGTGATGCCGACTCTGCGGAGTGGATGTTGGATTCGGGTGCTTCTTACCATGTTTGCCCTAGGAGGGATTGGTTCTCCAGCTTTCAGGTGTTGGAAAGAGAGGATGCTGTGCTCATGGGTAATGGACATGCATGCTCTATTGGTGGTATTGGTACTATTCAGATTAGGATGAGTGATGGGATGATGCGAGAGTTGGGTGATGTGAGGTTCATTCCGCAATTGAAGATGAACATCATTTCACTTGGAGCTTTGGAAGCAGCAGGCTATAGGTTGGCCTTGGTGAATGCACATTTGAAGGTCACATTGGGGTCCATGATTGTGATGAAGGCCGTCAGAAGGAGTAATTTGTATTATTTGCTCGGAAGCACGGTGATTGATAGGGAGCTGATGACTTCATCAGATTCGGCTAGACTGTGGCATTGTTTGATGCTGTGTTATTTGATTGGTAATGTCATGCATAGATTGTTAAGGAGTGCTTTGACCTGCAGTTTGAAGTCTTGTGAACCCATTGATATGAGCAAGAAGACCGAGGTGGAGTTTGGCATTTCTATCCATCATTCGAGGGGTCTTCTGAGGGGTGTTCATTCAGGCATTTGGGGGCTTTCTAAGAGAGCATTATTAGAAGATAATAGGTATGTGGTTTCCGCAGTTAGGGATTGTTCTAGATATTGGTGGGTTGCAACCAAGTCTCGTTGGTGTGAAGTCCTAGAAGCCCGTAACAGATGGAGGAAGTGTATTGATAGAAAGGTAACCCAACGTTCTGATTATGATAGGGGTTCTTTCTTGCGTTTGTGCCGAGCTCACGGCAATAGGAGACACTTCATTGGTGTGAAAACTTTAAGGCGACGTGATGAAATGGCAGATTTGGGGAGCTGTTCCTTGCTAGAGGAGGATCGGCGTTTGATGTCGAGCATTGGCGTTGGTGTGCGGGCTACAACATGTTTGGGCCATCTTATGTATAGGTTGTCGACTGCTGCATGTAGAGATATGAGATCTGGTGGAGCTGCTTCAGATTTTGGGTTGCGTCGGATGTTTGGCTACCTAGCACTTGGTCACATCGTGGATGTGAGATTTGATCTGATAGCACATTTGGGAGTCAGATGCTTGTTTGATTATCAGGTATTGACTTCTGACTTTGTTCTGAGCAGATATGTCACGTTTGACTCTCGGCAGATGAAGAGTGGTGATCAGATATTTGAGATATCGTAGCGGGTGGAGAGTAATGCTACTCCACTTTGGGTGGAGACTCCAGATCATACTGCATCATTTGGGATTCCAGCTAATGTGACACAGATTGGGAATCATATTGTTTCAGATGCAGATGATAGGTTGATTTATTCGAGTGCAGCTGATAGATTTAGTCTGGATATGGCCATTGATTCATCTCAGGTGGAGGTGTTTGGATTGTTTCAGTTTGGGGCCATTGGATGTGCTATCAGCCGCAGAGTTGATGATATTAGAGAAGGGTTACGAACTTTTCTAGTGGATTGAGACCTTTGGAGGCTATTTGGGTGAACTACGTGAATGCTTGATTCCTTGGGTAAGAGAATATGTATGTAGTCTTTATGATGCAGCCGATTTGGTGAGTTGATACCAACATTTGGAGAGTGTTTGCATTCTCATTTGGGTTCTCGACTTGTTGTGGATTGAGTCCGTTGCATTTGGAGAGTGTTTGCATTCTCATTTGGGTTCTCGACTTGTTGTGGATTGAGTCCGTTGTCGTGAATTGTTTCACTTCTTGTTGTGGATTGAGTCCGTTGTCGTGAATTGTTTCACTTCGTACTGGACGCAACAAGTGAGACATTTGATTTGGTTGGTGTTGGCTCAGTTTTGGGAAAACTTCACCGAGGTGGAGAATTATGAACGCGGAAGTCTTGTCCCATCACGCTTCCGTTTGGGAAGCTCATCACAAGACGCGGTTTTCTCGTGTTCGCGTGGGGGCACAAGTGTGAACGGGAGCAAAACCGAAACGGCATGAAAGGGCCACACGTGTCCACGTGAGGAGATAAGGCGGGGGGAAAACCGCGTGCAGGCCAGCGTTGAACGCGTTTTTCAATGCGTGCGGGTCGGCTATAAATAGGAACGAAGTTCTGTTCCTAGGTTTGAGTGCAAAGTGAGGGGAGAACTTGGCTTCGTGCAAGCGATAAAAAAGGGGTTTTGCTGCAGACGTAGATTTGGCGGCGCAAGAGCAGAAAAAGCAGACACGGATTTGGCGGTACAGATTTTGAGCAGTTCCTTTTGAGGGTTTTGAGTATCCCTTTGAGAGAGTATTTGTGTGAGGAATCTGAGAGTTTGTGTGAGTGTTTAGATTGTGAGATTATAAACCCTAGTTGTATCTCTCCCTCTAATAGTAGATATCCCCCTCCTTGCCCCGTGGACGAAGGCAATTTGCCGAACCACGTAAAATTTGTGTTCTTGCCGTGATTTGTAATAGCTTGTAGGTTCTCTCGACAAGTAAGTCCTAAAACTGATGAGAGGAAGAGTTGATATCTCAATTTGTTGAGATATTTTGCTTTCCGTTCTTGTTTCCTTTGTGAAACAGTGATTTAGTTGAGATCTACTTTTTTGTTGTGCTGCCGAAGTACTGTCAAAATTTCCGCTACGCACAACAAATTTCAATAGACCAACTACTATTTTATTAAATTTAATGAAATAATCTAGTGAAATAAAATATCCAAATACCATGCTCGTTGTTACAAGGTACTTAGACCTACCGGCTTATAGCAACCAATAGAATACTACATGCATGCCTTTGTCGGTTAGCAAGGCCCCATGCACGTCGAAGCTCATAATATATTTATGTGAACGCAAGTACAACATCTTATCATATAATTGAAAAAATACAGCTATACAATTAAAAGCATAACACGAAACGTTAAGTTATAGAACTACCCGCCAAAGCTCATAATATACTTAGGTGAACGCAAGTACAACATCATATCATATAATTGAAAAAATACAGCTATATATGTTTAAAAGCATAACACGACCCGTCAAAACATTCGAAAAACACCAATATATATCTACAAACAATCAAACTATAATACAAATCCAAACGACAATATAGGAAAGAGAACGATGACTATATACATGCTTCAAAACTATAAAACAAATACCCAAACCTTTGCTCATGAGGCACCTCGTACTGCATGAGAAAGCCTTCTCTATGTCGAACTTTTATCTTCTACACGCACACGCATATAAAAGGCATATAACCTACTTCGCTTTTATTTCATGTTTACCTTCTGCAGACATTGCCTTTGAACTCGGTGACTTCCCTATGATTGCCTTCTTTACCTTCACAATCGAATGCTTCACCTTCGAAAATATGTTATTCGATTGGCAATGAGAGCACTTGGCAGAACCTGCAATTCTAGGAGCTTCACCAGTACCTTTTGCTGTCTCGGTTAGAGTTTCCTCATTCCCTTTTTCAGCCTTCCCACTTTCTGTGTTGATGTCGTCTTTACCTTCTTCAACCAAAGCGGTCTTATCTCCTCCTAAACTTGCATCCTTCTTTTCGTCAACATCTTCAGTAACAGCAGCTCCTTCCTCTTCTCCTTTGAGCTCCTTAGCTGGAGAAGGTTCGGTAACAACAGCATTCTCGTCTTCTAGAGACTTGGGCTTCTCTGTGACAGGAGATACAATTGTTCCTTCCGCTTCTTTGTCTGCCACAGATACCGAAGAAACCTGAGGAAGTTCTTCAGCAGCACTAGCATTCACTTCTTCGATTGCTGGTTCTGTAGTAGCAGCAGCACTCGCTTCATTTGATGATTCTACGGACACTTTGGCTGCTTCAGATTCTGATGCTTGCACTAATGTTGCCCCCGAATCATTATTTGATTGTTTCGGAGATTCAGGTATATCAGTCACATCAGCTCGATCCTTGAGTTCCAATGCAGCAGAGGGGTTAGTTTCAGCTTCTGGTTTAGAGGTTCCCTCTTTCCGTATGAAACTATCAGCTAGTGCTCCCGATTTAGCACCTTCTGCTGCTTCTTGCTTTTCTTCTGACACAACTGCAGCTTCTGGTTTGACTCTAGTTGCATCTTTCACCTCCTCACGATGCTGTAAAAGACTAACATCGTCAAGGTAACCAGAGAATTTAAAGAAAGTCGTACATAAGATTAGTAGAACTCCAACGCATTCAGTGACATTTACAAAATACTATATAAATATTGTGAAGATTCATCATCATCCAAATCTAAGCCTTCGCATCAAAATGCATCATCTGTCTACATAACACACTTTGAGATTTAGAGAGCTCAAGAAAAAAACGAGTCAAGTTTTAATGGCCAATTATTAATGCAATACCAACCTCTACCAAATAACTCATGCAACAGGGTGCAATCACCCAAATTCCTAAGAATTAGGAACCATAGGTTAGGAAGATACAAAGATCGTGAGATTCTACATGAAATTGCCTTCCTTTTTTGGTACAAAAAAAGACGAAAGGTAATATGCCTAATTGAAGATTTTGAAAAATTAAAGTTTAGTTCCCGTTTGATTGAGCACAGATTGTAAAGACTCAAAACAGATGATTCAAATCCAGAAAAAAGAGGGTAAGAGAACAATTAAACATTTCTGTCCATTGACACTTATCTGCTTACTATTAATTATCATAACAACAAGAAAATGAGTATTTGAACTCATACATTCTGAAATAAAAGAAATATTGCTTTACTAGAAAGCTCGAGAAATTTTGATGAAAGGTGGCACAAGTTAAAACAACATGCACCTACTCCCAACGAGCAACATTTCTATTTTAAGTAGACAATCAGTACATTATTCCTCCGGACAGTTTAATTATAGCATCTTCTTGAAGGATACTTCTTACCTTCGCACATTTTCTGTGCAAGTTAAACACAATTTCTTGAATATGGACTATCGAGATAAGAAATGTGATTCCAATAGCAACACAAAGCCCCTCGCAATTTTGTACTCTACTACTCAGAAGGAATGGTTCTCAACGTTTATCTAGGGCCCCCCCCCCCCCCCCACCAAAAAATAAATAAATAAAATAATAATAAGTTCTATGTCATGCACTCCTTTTATCACGAGAAGGCACATGAGATAATTCGATAAAAAAACAACAACAACAAAGCCTTTATACCAAATGTTTGGGGTCGGCAGCATGAATGCGAGGATAGAAAATTTTGATAGATGTTGAAAAAGTGTATAGTATGTTGGATTTTTTTATCAAAACCGCTTTCCAAAATGAGTTTTACTTTTCATAAATGCTTAGTAGCCTAATGGAAAGTTAATGTTTTGGTGTTTCAAAATGTCATTTGTTCGAGACTTGTCAACGACAAACCAAGAAGTGTTTTATTTTAATTAACTCATAAGTTTTAGTGGGTCGTGGGCCGTGGGCTGTGGGCTCGTGGGCCGGAGATCGGGGCTAATCGGGCTGAGACGCTAAGTGACGTTTTGTTAGATGTACTTCGCACTTCGCACGGAGGCATCGGGGCTAGTTGGCGCCACAAATGTTGCCTCGCAGGCTGTTTCGCAGTATGTAGACGAGCTACGTATTCGCACGAGAGTGTGACCCTAATGTTCTCGAAATCAGACTAGGTTCGTCGAGGTTCGTCTGATTCACAAGATCAGACGAGGTTCGCCTATTTGTCGAGGTTCGCTCGTCAAACGAGGTTCGCCTATTTGACGAGGTTCGCTTATCAAACGAGGTTCGCTTGTTCGACGAGGTTCGCCTGTTCAACAAGGTTCGCTTATCAAACGAGGTTCGTCTGTTTGACAATGTTCGTTTGTCAAACGAGATACGATCGTTCGACGAGGTTCGTCTATTCGACGAGGTTCGCTCATTCGACGAGGTTCGTCCTACAGACGAAATTCGTCTGATTTGCTAAGACGTGACCCTCACGTTTCATAATAACGCGTCCATTGATTGCCTCGTAATCAGGAGTTACTACATACAGCAGTTACAACGGTATTTAGAGCAATTTAATGCATTAATGTTACAATCATTATTGCCAATGTGAATTATAACAATCACATTAATTAAGGGTGACTCTTAAGCTGGTCTTAAATAGCGCCTATTGGGCAATTCTTGTAGTTAGCTAGTGAACTTAAAATACGAACATCAGATCAAGGAGACCTTAACGTTGTTGTTGTTGTTATGCTGCCATTGTAGAAACTGCGCCCGCAGGAACTTGCCCTGAAACCGAAAGGTTTTGAACCGAAAGGTTCTGAGATCGAGGAGATTTTTACCTTGACCAAAAGGTCTTTTAGATCGAGGAAATCTTGACAGTACTGGGTTGGTGCACACCAGAGTATTGTATCTGTTGCTCCTGGAAGGAGTTTGGTCTTGGGATCTTTGCACCGGAGTAGGCCAAATATTACTTTAACCACAGCGTTTCACAAACGCACAGCAGTTAACTTGAAAAAGTCTAAAATTACAGCACATCAACTTTACTGTTTTATTCCAGATTTAACCATAATTTCCAACATAGTATAATGCCAGTGTCTTGCGCAACACTAAATTCATAATATATCGCACTGACAGCAGAGTTCATTGACCTATGAAATTGGATACGTGAACTACCTTCACCAATTAACAAGAATCACTATCTTAGTTCTATGTGAAAACAAAATCAGGTTGGCAGCAGTTAAGAAAGGAGGGGGGGAACAGGAAATTACATAAAAGAATAGGAAAAAGAAGGTAACAAGATATATATTCAGAAGGAACTGAAAATCAAAATTGTTCATGACCATGAATCAAGAACAATATTTTATAATTTAGATTTATCAGGTTATGAACTTTGAGTTCTTATGCCATGATTCATACTCACCACAATAAAACGAAGCACAGTAAATACAATAAAGTAATCCTTTTTCTCATATAATCTAGAGTTAAACAAACACCTTCATTTTCAAGAAAAGAAAACCAATACTTTCTTGAAGGAGGGAAAACAATACCAAAACAGATATAAATATTCCAGTTTTATCTCCAAAGCAAAGCTAGGATCTTTCTTCTTAGCAAAGCCGATATATCATGAAAAGTGCCAAGTGGGTTTAGCTACAAATCTCAACTCCAAAAGTAAAAATACAGAAAGATTGGAACTTTTTCCTTTAAATCAGCTAAAGACACCAACTTGTCTTTGCCCATAAACACCAAGCCTCAAAGTGCCAACTACCAAATAATTCAAACCAATTAAAGCAGTATAAAGCAAGCAAAGGAGTAAGTATAAACAAAAGGGTTTTCTTTCCACATACCCCTTCAGCTGTTTGATCTGTCACCAAAGCCTCAGTCGCCATGGATTCTAGAGAGAGAGAGAGAGAGAGAGAGAGAGAGGAGAATTTTATTTATTTGATTTGTGTTTTTTTGGATTATGGGATGATGGTGATGATGATGGTAACAAGCCGCATTGAGAAAGTTCGAGTATGTGCATGTGGGCGAGCTGGTGACACGTGGCATGAGCGAATGCGGCTTATGGGTGGATGGGCTAGGCTAGTTTGGGCCGAATTGGACCCCCAACCCAACTAACAGATGAACCACAGAAACTACATTATTGTTGGCCACTTAAATGGGCTTGGGCACATGGGCTTTACCTATTTACAAACTTCATTCGATGTAAAAGTAGCAAGTATTCAGAAGTATCATTTTGGGCTTACAAGCGAAAACCCCAAATTAAAGGGACATTGTCTACCGAGTTGGACATCAGATAAATTTTTCGGTCCGTTCAAAAATTTAGGGGTTTTTACATATGGTCCAATTCATCATTAGCAATTTGATATTAGTCCTCCAAATTATCTTAATGTGCTGGTATTAATCTCATGGGATACGTAGTTGGCGTTGTAACTTTGGGAGAATATTCCCTTTTTTTTTAACCCCATCCATAAAATTTACATTTATGTCCTCACCGAGCAAACCCAAATCCACAGCTGCTTGACCCTAGCCCGTTACCAACCTCTAAATCCATTTCCATCAATGAAATCCAACCTCATTCGCCTATCTTCTTCCTCCTTTCTTAAGGGACTTTCGGGGCGAGATCAAAAAGAATGGGGAAAAAGACTATTTTGGTAATTGCTAACCAATGTTAGGGTGAATTCAACCATGGTTTAGGGTTTGCAACAGCTATCCAACAGGAGGACTAATATCAACACATCTATTCCTCTATACAAATAGGAGAAACCAAGATTCACTATTCGTGTTACAGTGATATTTATCGTATCAAACAAGAACCGGATACTGCAGCAGTTTTTTTGAAAAATATCACTGTAGCACACCGCAATTAAAACTTTTTAAAAAACTTTAGCATTTAAAATCGAAATTACTGTAACCAGGAAAAAAATGACTAGTTGAAGTAATTTCGGAGACTAGCATCAAAATATGAAGATTGAGATATTAATATTAGAATACTAAAATAATGTAAGAGACTAATATAGGGAAAAAGAACTCTAAATTTTATTTACCACTTCCAGGTGTGCAGTGTTGTTCAACACCAAAGCGTGTGAAGGTGGGTACGCACAGGGACCAACTACTGTGCTACGAAACTACCCACAAAAATAAATAAATGAATAAATAAATGAAGGAGAGAGAAGAAAAATAAAGGAAAGAAATCTTATCTACACTTCAGCCGCCCCCCCAATAATATAACATAGATCAAATGCCACCTTTGAAGTCGAGGCTCTCAACTTCTTCCAACTCCTAAGATTAATTAATCTACATTTTCTTTAATTAGTATACTTTATCGTGTAATTTATATCCTTGGAGTATTTGCTTACATTACCAAATCAACACTTTTGAGGTTATTAAATGGCTGGCTCGCCATTCTTAGATGATCTAATCCATGACTTTCCTTTTGTTGTTCTCGTTAATGTTCAAAGATCTCCGCGTTTAGTCTACACGTGCCCCCTTTGGTTAAGACTTCATATTTGTCGGTTAATTTGTTTAAGCACAGTTTAGACTTTTTTTTCCCTACCTAATCGGTTCTTTCACTGTACTAGAGCCACGTGATTTTGGGGCACCTTCACGCGTTAATCCGAGTTTTAAATATTGATTGATTGATGGATAGGGCTATATTTGTCGGTTAATTTGTTTAAGCACAGTTTAGACTTTTTTTTCCCTACCTAATCGGTTCTTTCACTGTACTAGAGCCACGTGATTTTGGGGCACCTTCACGCGTTAATCCGAGTTTTAAATATTGATTGATTGATGGATAGGGCT